GGTGGGGTTGTAGAGTGATGGGGGAGGTGGTGGGGTTGTAGAGTGATGGTGGGAGGTGGTGGGTTTGTAGAGTGATGGTGGGGAGGCGGTGGAGGTTTTGTAGGTAATGGTGGGGAGGTGGTGGGGTTGTAGAGGTATGGTGGGGAGGTGGTGGGGTTGTAGAGTGATGGTGGGGAGGTGGTAGGATTGTAGAAAGGTGGTGGTTGGTGTGGGGGGTGGTTGGGGTTGTAGAGTGATGGTGGGAGGTGGTGGGGTTGTAGAGGGTAATGGTGGGGAGGCGGTGGGGTTGTAGTATGGTGGGGGGGTTTGGTGGGATGGTAGGTATGGTGGGGGGGGTGTGGGGTTGTAGAGTATGGTGGGGAGGTGGTGGTGTTGTAGAGTGGTGGTGGGGAGGCGGAGGGGTGTAGGGGTGATGGTGGGAGGTGGTGGGGTTGTGGAGTATGATGGGGAGGGTGGTGGGGTTGTAGGGGTAATGGTGGGGAGGTGGTGGGGTTGTAGAGTGATGGTGGGGAGGAGGTGGGGTTGTAGAGTGATGGTGGGGAGGGGTGGGTTGTAGAGTGATGGTGGGGAGGTGGTGGGTTGTAGAGTGATGGTGGGGAGGTGGTGGGGTTGTAGAGTGATAGTGGGGAGGTGGTGGGGTTGTAGAGTGATGGTGGGGGGGGGGGGTTGTAGAGTGTAGGTGGGGAGGTGGTGGGGTTGTAGAGTGATGGTGGGGAGGTGGTGGGGTTGTAGAGTAAATGGTGGGGAGGTGGTGGGTTGTAGAGTGATGGTGGGGAGGTGGTGGGGTTGTAGAGTGATGGTGGGGAGGTGGTGGGGTTGTAGAGTGATGGTGGGGAGGTGGTGGGGTTGGTAGAGATATGGTGGGGAGGTGGTGGGGTTGTAGAGGTGGGGAGTGGTGGGGTGGTGGTGGGGTTTTTAGTGATGGTGGGGAGGTGGTGGGTTCTAGAGTGATGGTGGGGTTGTAGAGTGATGGTGGGGAGGTGGTGGGGTTGTAGAGTGATGGTGGGGAGGTGGTGGGGTTCTAGAGTGATGGTGGGGTTTGTAGAGTTATGGTGGGGGGTGGTGGGGTTGTTAGAGTGATGGTGGGGAGGGGTGAGGGTTGTAGAGGGTGATGGTGATGGTGGTTGAGAGTGTAGGTAGGTGGTGAGTGACAGTGGTGGTTTGGAGGTGGTTGGGTGTTTATTGAATGGTGGGGAGGTGGTTGTGTTATAGCAGTGGGGGTGGTGAGGTGTAGTGTTATGGTGGTGGTGGTGGGTGGGTTTATAGAGGGTATGGTGGGGAGGAGGTGGGGTTTAAGAGTGGTGGTGGTGGGGGTGGGTAGTGTTATTAGAGAGGGGATGGTGGGGGAGGTGGTAGGTTAAGAGTGGTGGTGGGTGTGGGTGTAGGTTATTGAGCAGTGGGTGGGGTGGTGAGGTGGTAGGGGTTTAAAAGTGGTGGTGGTGCGGTGGGGTTTGTAGAGGGTGGTGGTGGTGAGGTGGTAGGTGTTATTAAATGGTGGGGGAGGTGGTAGTGTTGTAAAGTGGGTGGGTTGGGTGAGGTGGGTTGTGGTTGTAGAGGATTTGGTGGTAGGGAGGTGGGTGTGTTATGACGGTGGGGGGTTGGATGGTGGAAGGTGGGGGTAGGGGGTTGTGGAGTGGATGGTGGGAGACTGGGTGTTGTAGACATGGTGGTGGGAGGTGGTGTGTTGTAGAGGGTGGTGGTGGTGAGATGGTGGGGTTGTAGAGTGAGTGGTGAGGTGGTGGGGGTTGTAGAGTAAAGTGGGTGGTGGGAGTGTAGAGTGTTGTAGGAAGTGGTGGTTGTGGTGATAGGGGGGTTGGGTGTTATTGACAGTGTGGTGGTGGAGGTGGTTGGTTGTAGAGTCATGGGGGGGTGGTGGAGTTGTTGAGTGATGGTAGGAAGTGGTGGGGTTGGTGGTAGTGTTGGGGACAGGGGGGTGGGGTGTTGTGAGGTGGTGTGTTGTAAAAGTGAGTGGTGGGGTGGTGGTAGTTTATAGAATGGTGGGGAGGTGGTAGGGTTGTAGCAGTGATGGTGGTGGAGGTTGGTGGTGTTTTGTAGAGGGTATGGTGGGAGGTGGTGGTGTTCTAGAAGTGATGGTGGGGAGGTGGTAGGGTTTAGAGGGTGATGGGTGGTGAGGTGGTGGGTTTTATTGACAGTGGTGAGTGGGGGGGTTTGGTAGAGTTATAGCAGGTGGTGGTGGTGGGGTGTAGTGTGATGGTGGGGTGGTGAGTGGGGTTGTAGAGTGATGGTGGGTGGGGGTGGTTTAGTGTTGGTGACGGGTGGTGGTTGGAGTGAGGTAGTATGTGTTGTAAAAAGTGGTGGTGGGGAGGTGGTGAGGTTGTAGAGTGGTGGTGGGGGAGGTGGTGGGGTTGCAGACAGGGTGATGGTGGGAGGTGGTGGGTTATAGAGGGTGATGTGGGGTGTGGTGGGTTGTAAGAGTGGTGGTGGGGGAGGTGGTGGGTGTTATAGAAATGGTGGGGGGTGGTGGGGTTGTAACAGTGGTGGTGGAGAGGCGGTTGTGTTTAGAGTAGTTGGGGTGGTGGTTGAGGTTGGTAGGGGTTTGGGGTGAGAGTGGGGTGGTGGGGGGGTTGGGTGTGTTATAGGACTGGTGGGGGAGGTGGTTGTGTTGTAGAGGGTGATAGTGGGGAGGGGGTTTGGGGGTTGTAGAAGTGTGGTGGGAGAGGTGGAGTGTTGTAGAGTAGTGGTGGGGAGGGTGGATTTGTTATGATGGTGGGGGGTGGTGGGGTTGTAGGGTATTACATGGTGGTGGTGGTGGGGTTGTAGTGTATGATGGGAGTGGTGGGTTGTGGGGTGAGGTGGGAGGTTATTGGGTTGTAGGTGGGGGTGAGGGAGTGGGGGGTTATATGAAGTGGTGGTGGGAGGGTGGGTAGAGTTTAGAGTTATGGTGGGGTGGTGGGTTAGTAGTGTATGAGTGGTGGTGGTGGGGTTGTAGGTTATAGACGTGGTGGTTGGTGAGGTGGGGAGGGGGTTATGCAGTTGTGGTGTAGGGGGGTAGTGGGGTTGAGAGTGGTGGTGGTGAGGTGGTGAGGTTATAGGGATGATGGTGGTGGTGGTGAGGTGGTAGTGTTTTAGACAGTGGTGGTGGTGAGGTGGTAGGTGTTATAGACAGTGGTGGTCGGTGAGGTGGTTGTGTTATAGAGACAGTGGTGGTGGTGCGGTTGGTAGTGTTATAGACAGTGGTGGTGGTGAGGTGGTTTAGGGTTATAGACAGTGGTGGTGGTGAGGTGGTAGTGTTATAGACAGTGGTGGTGGTGAGGTGGTAGTGTTATAGACAGTGGTGGTGGTGAGGTGGTAGTGTTATAGACAGTGGTGGTGGGGTGGTAGTGTTATAGTCAGTGGGGGTGGTGAGGTGGTAGTGTTATAGACAGTGGTGGTGGTGAGGTGGTAGGTGTTATTGGACAGTGGTTGGTGGTGAGGTGGAGTGTTATAGACAGTGGTGGTGGTGCGGTGGTAGTGTTATAGACAGTGGTGGTGGTGAGGTGGTAGTGTTTAGACGGTGGTGGTGGTGAGGTGGGTAGTGTTATTGAGTGGTGGTGGTGAGGTGGTGGGTGTTATAGAGGGTGGTGGTTGTGAGGTTGGTAGGGTTATGCAGTGGTGGTGGTGAGGTGGTAGTGTTATTGACAGGGTGGTGGTGCGGGTGGTAGTGGTTAGAGGTGGTGGTGGTGAGGTGGTGGGGTGTTGACAGTGGTGGTGTGTGAGGTGGTAGGTTTTTGAGGTGTGGTGGTAGTGAGGGGGGTGGGTGTTAGACAGGTGGTGGTGGTGAGGTTGGTAGGGTTATAAAGGGTGGTGGTGGTGAGGTGGTAGGTTAGACAGTGGTGGTGGTGAGGTGGTGGGTGTTATTAAAAGGGTTGTGGGTGGTGAGGTGGTGGGTTTTTTAGGGTGGTGGTGGTGAGGTGGTGGGTGTTATTGACAGTGGTGGTGGTGGGGTGGTAGGGTTATTGAGGGTGGTGGTAGTGGGGTGTAGGGTTATTAAAGGGTGGTGGTAGTGGGTGTGTTTAGAGGGTGGTGGTGGTGAGGTGGTAGGGTTATTCAGTGGTGGTGGTAGTGAGGTGGTGGGTGTTATTGAGCAGTGGTGGGTGAGGTGGTGGGTGTTATTGAGTGGTGGTGGTGAGGTGGTAGGGTTGTTGAGGGTGGTGGTGGTGAGGTGGTAGGGTTATTGACAGGTGGTGGGTGAGGTGGTAGGGTTATTGAGGGTGGTGGTAGTGAGGTGGTTTAGGGTTATTGAGGGTGGTGGTAGTGAGGTGGTAGGGTTTATTGAGGGTGGTGGTAGTGAGGTGGTAGGGTTATTGAGGGTGGTGGTGGTGAGGTGGTAGCGTTATTGAGGGTGGTGGTAGTGAGGTGGTAGGGTTATTGAGGGTGGTGGTAGTGAGGTGGTAGGGTTGTTGAGGGTGGTGGTAGTGAGGTGGTAGGGTTATTGAGGGAGGTGGTAGTGAGGTGGTAGGGTTGTTGAGGGTGGTGGTGGTGAGGTGGTAGGGTTATTGAGGGTGGTGGTGGTGAGGTGGTAGGGTTATTGAGTGGTGGTGGTGAGGTGGTAGGGTTATTGAGGGTGGTGGTAGTGAGGTGGTAGGGTTATTGAGGGTGGTGGTAGTGAGGTGGTAGGGTTGTTGAGGGTGGTGGTGGTGAGGTGGTAGGGTTATTGAGGGAAGGTGGTAGTGAGGTGGTAGGGTTATTGAGGGTGGTGGTGGTGAGGTGGTAGGGTTATTGAGGGAGGTGGTAGTGAGGTGGTAGGGTTATTGAGGGTGGTGGTAGTGAGGGGGTTTAGGGTTTGAGGGTGGTGGTGGTGAGGTGGTAGGGTTATTGAGGGTGGTGGTGGGTGGGGTTTTGGGAGGGGTAATGATGGGTGGTGGTGGTGAGGTGGTAGGGTTATTGAGGGAGGTGGTAGTGAGGTGGTAGGGTTATTGAGGGTGACGCTGGTAGTGAGTCAAGTGCCAGCAATGGAACCTTGGTATACATGGCTGACTGCCATACCTTTCTTGCTTACTTTATCTCTTCTCAACTGTTTTCAGATACTCCTCCTCAGTTTTTTCTATAACCTTTTTTCTGAGGAAAAGTATATGGAATGCGGAAGCAGAAAAAGACCGACAACTTTTTTTTTTATGCCCCATTAGGATGCTCCATTTTTATGCCCCATTAGGATGCTCCATTTTTTAGGCCCCATTAGGATGCTCCATTTTTTATGCCCATTAGGATGCTCCATTTTTTATGCCCCATTAGGATGCTCCATTTTTATGCCCCATTAGGATGCTCCATTTTTATGCCCCATTAGGATGCTCCATTTTTATGCCCCATTAGGATGCTCCATTTTTTATGCCCCATTAGGATGCTCCATTTTTATGCCCCATTAGGATGCTCCATTTTTATGCCCCATTAGGATGCTCCATTTTTATGCCCCATTAGGATGCTCCATTTTTGGCTGTGTAATCCCTTCTGTATCGACGTGTTTTTAAAGAATTTATTACCGACTAATTTGTTGTGTTTGGGGAGGTAATTAATAAGGTTTCATAATAGCTGATAATTGGCCAAATAAGTTCACTAAATAGCGAAACTCGAGCCGATATTAAATAACGAAATGAAGTAGGCCTAACTTCAAGAAACTAAGAGAATCAATGGTTTGGTATGTGTAATAAGTATTTTTTTAATACAGATGTGTGTTACGAAACAGTGATATCCTCTTAAAATTAGTACGAATTACACACCACACACACACACACACACACACACACACACACACACACACACATATATATATATATATATATATATATTATATATATATATATATATATATATATATATATATATATATATATAAACTTATGAAAACAACATGTCATCAATACACTTACAAAAAGGCGATGCTCGTGGCAAAATTGTATACAAATATATAATATAAAAACGTATATAAAACGGAAGGCCTTGGTCAGCTGACCAAAAGCTCCAGCTGTGGGTCGTCACATGACTAAGACCAGCGCCAGGAAACACTTGTTCTGTTTCCTGACAAACATTATACCAACACTGCATACACGAGACTCACGAAATCGTAATGACACGATTGCAGACACTGCATACACAAAAATGTTTAAAGGGATGGACCGGTAAGCCAGCTGAAGGCCTCGGTCAGACGACCATAAGCTCCAGCTGCAGGTCACCATAAGACTAAGACCAGCGTCAAGAAACACTTATCCCGTTTCCTGATGAACCTGCCTAACCTAACATGTCTCTGCGTATAGGTATTGAGAGCCGCGGTGCGTATATATACACAGATAAATGTATATTTCAGTTTTTATGGACTAAGATTTTATTTTTATTCATATTTTTAGAATTACAGTAATTTTGAGTGATATATAGATGATATGCAGCATCAATGACCATCATACAATAGCTAGTCCTTAAGCTTAACAACCGAACCATCCGGCTTCCACTGCAGAGACGCTCACATCTCTCTCTAATCACTTAACTTTCATTTTTCGTTTACCTTCTTAAGGTCTAGTTAGTTAAAGAATATAATTTTGTTAGTACATATGTCCCGTTGGGACCTTTATTTTGCCAGGCAGTCCCGGTCATCATTAGAAAGTTGTTTGTGACGGACCTAAATAACACTCAACTACCACATTATCATTAAAGACTATTATTATATAATTATTGTTATCCTTAAATTAATTTTTAAGTTTAAAATTATATATATATATATATATATATATATATATATATATATATATATATATATATATATATATATATTATATTATATATGTCGTGCCGATAGGCAGAACTTGCCATCTTGGCTTAAATAGCAACGCTCATCTTGCCATATAGGACAAGCGAAAATTTGTGTATGCAATAATTTCGCAAAAATCTTTCTAAAACTAACTAAAAAAATATATTTCATTGTGTTTTTTTAGTATTAAATTATTGTAAAAGTATTTAAAATATATTTAGTTGGGTTAGGCTAAAATAAATTGTTCTTGTTATAATAAGGTTAGGTAAGTTTTCTAAGATTCTTTTGGTGAAAATTAGAAATTTTTACATTAACATTAATGAAAAAAATATATCTTTAAACGTATAAGAGAAAATTTCAGAAAGGACTTAATTTTAAATGAGTTCTTGCTAAATGACCAATTTTACATATTCGGCACGACATATATATATATTATATATATATATATATATATATATATATATATATATATATATATATATATTATATATATATATAGATATATATCGGGTGGATTAAAGTGTTTTTGACTAGTGGTATACAAGTAAAATGCAGCCCTAATGACCCACGTACAGATACGCTTTAAACAAAATCATCCAACAAGTAGAATGTTACCAGGATTATGTAGTTGGAAACACCAGATCTGATATGATCTGAGACATAAGTACATTTCAAGAGGGATGCATTGATACTGGTGAAAAGTTCTTGATCAATATTCACCTCCAGACTGGTACTTAGTAGCAACTAAACTCTATTTGATCGCCTCCTTTAAATTCTGAATAACACTTAATTCTCGTAATGACCTCTAAAAAGCTACTCTGGTATATATGAAGAATCAGTCACATATTCATGGGGATACTGTTCTGAAACATGGATACACACTACA